AGTTAATCCCAAGCTAATCACTTAGCTGTATTGTTACTACACAACTGTGAAGGGTGAAACACCTGATCTTCAGTATGCAGATTGTGTTGGATGAACAGTTACATTTGTGTCATAGTTGGAGTTTTGATGGTGTTTGGAAAACCATAAATCTTCATAAAGGATGTGTTTACAAAGTCAAATAATGAACCAGAAAATTGTGACTAAAAGTACATTTCTAGACTGTAATGTGGTTGGTAACCTATCAAATTCTCTCCTATGCTTCTGCAACTTTAGATTCACATGTTGATAATGGAAATACCTGAAGACCTATAATGCATGGTGACTTCGTTTATTCAAATATATCAACTGTAATAACAGGGACATAGTTTATGTTTTGAAACATGCTGTGATCAGAATGTCCATTTGTTTTGTCCAGTGTTGCATATAAAGATGAAGTACAGAGAACATTGCATCATTTACATTTGTAAAAGATTTGTGGCTTGCTTATATTAGATGTTGTCGTGACTATTGAAATTGGTTTAATTTAATCAGGCACAGCTTAGAATTGTTTGGTCTTAAGTGAAAAACAATGAAAGATTCAACTTCACTACCATGTCTTGATATTGACATAGAAGATACTGGGAGATGAACACTGGCTTTTATGTGGTTTGAAGGTTATAATTTACTAATGAGCTGTATAGACTTTTAATTTTTATACTGTGGTCTAAAGAAAATAGATTTTTGTATTCTTGCTTTCAGAATTTGGCCATAAAAACAAAGAACACTTTCATAAGCTTATTTATTTCAAATGAAAAACAAATGGAATTAAAGGGTATACAGTTAAAAGATGAACCACTTCTGCTGTCATCAGTGCTCTGCCCAAGCCTGGACAAAGAGGAAAAAGAAAGAATAAATAAAAGAAGGAAAAGAGGTGCATGGGGACCTCACAATGAGTGATAACATCCAGGAATAATGTGTGGATTTTCACTTTTCAAGTTTTTTCATCAAAATGACTGCTGGGCTTGGTGGTGCACACTGAGGCAGGAGAATTGGGAGTTTGAGGTCAGCCAGCATTACAAAGTAGAATCTCTTCATCTTAGAGGGGTTTTGGTAGCTTTATCTTATAGGTTGTACATAGTACTTATAAAATGAGAATAGATAATCTTTTCTTTACCATTGTGAAAAGGAACTTTTTTCCTTCCATTTTGAAATGAGTTACCAAGTTTTTCAGATATAATATTATCTGAAAATACCTTCTACCCCTCCTCTGTAAAATTTGATGCTGCTTTCTCTTAGCTTACATTTATCTCTTTCACCTAAGTTTTCAAATTTACTTATAGTTTGTAAATTAATAATCCTCACTAAGTTCTTCTCAATCTGTGACTTTTTCCCTTCACTTTGTGTTTAATTGCTCTACATATTACAATAGAGAATAAAGATGTTTTCCATAATATTTTATAATCTCAAAGTTAAAAAAAAACATGCATGTCATTTACTTCCATGAAAGTAATCTGGTGTTTTATTTCTTTCCTTTTCCAATAAAGGTATAAAGGTAAAGACTCTCCTTATCATCTTGGTACAAAAGACTAAAAAGGAGAGTCTTCACCAAGATGCTTAGGAAGTCAACATTTTTTCTAAACTAGATGATTTTCTTTAATGTAGTTTCATGGGGTGCAGTTTTTTAAAACTATTTAACATCTTTGGAATTTCTCCATGGCTCCTAATATGCCTAAATTCTCTCCCCACCCATTTGGTTTTTCGAGCCAGGGTTCTTATATGTGACAGCTCTGACTGCCCTGAGTCTCACTCTAGACCAGTCTAGTCTCGAACTCACAGAGATCTACCTGCCTCTGCCACCATTGTGCTGGGATTAAAGGCGTGAGCCACCACTTCTGGCACCTAAATTCTTAATATGCATCATTTTTTACTATTCTTAGTCACAAGTTTTACTAAATTACTTGCCTTTAAAATACAGTCTGCTTTTATTTTAAATATCCAAGGTACTTGCTTCCTAAAAAAGTGATATTGAAACAAATAATAACTGTATGTATGGTTACATTTGTATTTTCTAGAGCAAAGAATTGTTAACAAATGTTAGTGTTTTAACAGTCCTGAAAGTGAATTTACACATTGTCCGTTGGCTTTGGGTTTATTCAAAAACTCTGCTTCTTATTTTTTTTAACTAGTTCTGAGGCTGGCAAAGAAAATGACTTTTAAACAGAAAGGAACCTGTTCTTCCCTAGTAGTTCCTACATTTTAATGTGTATACTTACACGTTTCTATACAAGTGTGATAGGATTCAAAGATTAAAATGTCTAGGATATTTTAATCCCTAGTAGATTGAGTTTGAACATGTAAGCTAACATCTTCTAAAAGCCTAATACTTAAAAACTGTCATTTCTGCATTTGTATAACCTCAAAGCAATGTGATAAACACTTTTACAATGGAAATAATTTGCATATTTAATTCAATTTTGGTGTGTGTATTTACTATATTAAGAATGTTAGTTATTTGCCTCCACTAAGAAATTTTTTGAGAATAATAAAATAAAATGGAATATTTCAACTTTATTCTTTTTTTATAGGTCATGGAAAATGGAAGATTTGCAAAATACAAGTATTTTACCCATGTCATGATCAATAAAACAGATATGTTCATGATAACAAGACGGTAACTTCTTTTCCTTCTCTAATATAATTGATAAGGATGACAGGTTCTTACATTCCTCGTGTCTATATAGCCACACTGATTGCTATAAACTCTGGTCGTACATTTAAGTTCATTTTTGTGTATGCTTATAGATAAACACAATCATAAATACACAGAATTATAAGTTAGTTTAGTATCCCAGCTACTTTTGTGTAGAACTGACCTTTCAGATAGACTTTACCCTCTAAATATCACTCAGGTTATTCTAGAAGTCAGCAGTCCTCGTAATGGCATTTCTTCATAAGAATGCATAAGTTGACTGTCATAACTGGGTACATCAATGTGAATAGGACAAGATACTCCCAGCTATGACATCTTCAGAAAGGCATGTAGACTTTTTCAGTATCTCCAGCAATCTCAGACATGATTGAGAGCAAGAGCCTGACTGGCTTGTGTCTCAGCCACATGCCATTTATAAATCACTTTCTGAAAGTGTGTGCTATCAGTTTAAAATTGGTATCTCAACTACAAAGAACATCTGTGGGAAAGTGGTCTTTGAAGGAAGGATTAAGTGGAATCATAGGTGAAATGCATTTTTCTTATTTCTCCCCCATGAAGTCTCAGATGTGACTTCTCTCTGATTTTGACAATAACAGGACTTGATTTTTCCTGGAAAACCCCAAGGATTTTCAGTATGTTGATTCTGTTCAGTGTGGTCAGAAAAGCCTCTTTCTGACGGAGGGTGCAAAGTACATTATTCTAATGTGTTACATGTTCTTGAATATTTTCTGGTAATTGGTTGTGTAAATGCTTAACATTCCTTTAAAAGTGCCTTATTTATTAAGACTTCAGCTCAGTTTTCCATTATAGCTCATGCTGTACATTTTCCACTGAGCATTGCTTCAGCTACATCCTATATAGATGTTGTATTTTCATTGTCACACTCTTACAATTGTTTTTACCATTTGAGATTCTTTAACTCATAGCTTGTTTTAGAAATGCCTTTATTTGTAAACATTGGGGAGTATTGTCATTTTTTCATCTTTCTGTTATCCAGTTTTTAATTTTAGCCCATTGTGGTCTGAAAACAGATACTTTTATGGTTTCTATTGTCTTAAATTTATTGTCTTTTTTGGTTTTGTTGTTGTTGTTGTTGTTGTTTGTGGTACTGGAAATCAAGCCCAGGGCCACATACTTTTTAGGGAGGTAGTTTACCTTTGAGCCATACCTCAAACCCTAAATTCACAAAGGTTTTTGTGGCACTATAGAATGGCTCAGCTGTTAAGAATACTTGCTGTTCTTGCAGAAGATCCAGGTTTAGTTACCAGCATCTATATAGGATGGTGCACAGTTGATAGGGGAATGTCCTTTTGTATGCTGCAAATATATGTTCTCTTATTGGTTGATGAATAAAGCTGGTTTGACCAATGGACAAGCAGAATATAGCCAAGCAGGAAGTATAGGCAGGGATACCTGACTAGGAGGATGCAGAGAATAGGGACACAGGGAGTGAGTCTCAAGGAGACACCATGTAGCTACCATGAAGATAGGACCCCTGGGCATTCTCTGATAAGATAAGGTCATGTAGAAATACACAGATTAATAGTTATGGGTTAATAATTAAGAGAGAGCTAGGCAATAAGAAGCCATCAGCCAAACACACTAAACAGCTACAGGCCCCAGTGTGACAGAAACTTCTGTCTACACACAGTCACCTGTAACTCTGGTTCCAGGGGATCCCATGACTTCTTCAGGCCTCTCTAGGTACCTGCACACATGTGCACACACATACATTCAGGTCATCACACATACACATCAAGTTTTAAAAAAATATGATTTTAATATTGCTTTGTTTATCTATATGAATATTCCCTGTGTGTGTGCAAAAAAATAAAAATAAATCTTGTGTTATTGGCCTACGTTTCTCAATTCTCAAAGTGAATCCTTTTGTCCCCCTAACCTAGTGGTGTGTTGTTTGTAACAAAAGGAACATTTGGACAGCTGACATGTGAATGGCAGTATAGTTTTGATGAATTTACCAAAGAGCCATTTATTGTCCATGGAAGAAGATTGCGCATTGAAGCAAAGGTATGTAGAACAGACTGTTTCAATACTTATATTTCTCAAATAGTGCATTAAAGTTGACCCTTTGATCTGTTTTTTATGAATGCTGCTCTCAGGATAGTTTCCCTGAGACAGTGTAATTGTAGCATCTGTAAGGGGGAGAAGTCATTTCTTTATTGTATTTCAACAACTGGGTTTTCTTTTTAATGAAGTTATGAACTCTGTTTATAGGAACGGGTGAAATCTGTATTCCATGCCAAAGAATTTGGAAAAATAATTAACTTCAAGACTCCAGAGGACGCTAGGGTAAATATAATTGATCTTTATTTAAACCACATAGAAACATCTCACTTTGAAGCCATGTTTTGCGGCAGGTAAATTTTTTTAGGGTGTTTGTTTTTAACAGCTTTAGTACATATAATTAATGATCTTTTCTTCAAATATTTTTCAATATATTCAACACTCTGGCTTTTCAAATAAAATTGCTCTTTTTTTTTTTTTTGAGACAGGGTCTCACTATATAGTCCAGGATATCCTAGAACCTACTGTTTTCCTGCCTCCGTCTCTTTAAGAGCTGAAATTACAGGTTTTGGCATGTTTTCAGCAAACACCAATAATCATTGTGTTCTAGTATTATACTTTCTCTGCTGGAGTGGACAGATTAACTCCGCATTGCTAACTTCTTTACTACACAGTTACAATGGTGTAACAAAACAAGTATGAAACCAAGGCTGTAGTCAGAAAAGGCAGGTTTCAATATTTCCTCTCTTGCTCACTAGTAGAACTTTGTGGGAAGTCAGTTAACCCAGTTTCTTTGAAATGGGAATGGAGAGCAGTGAACATGCTTTTGGGATCATGGCAATTACAAGAAAATGAATCATATGAACTTACATCACATTAATCATAGCCAAGATGCTGTTCTTGATGGAGCATTGTACTACTGTTTGGGGTAACTCATTTTAAGAGCACTGGACCTTTCAACTTCATCCCTGTACCTCTGCCTTCTTACTACATTGCCCATCAAATATTACTTGATACCATTGTGGACAGAGGTTTCTGTCCTGCTTGGTCCCACAGCCACGGAATAAACACAGAGAGACTTATATTGATTATAAGTTGTTTGGATGGTGGCTCAAGCTTCTTATTGGCTAGCTCTCTCTTAATTATTAACCTATGTATTATCTTGAGGCTGTGGCCTCCTGCAATGCTCCTTTGGCGGCTACTTGGGGCTCCCTCTGGTGACTGCTTCACTGTCTTTCTTCTTCCCAGAATTCTCCTAGTCTGATAGCCCCACCTGTACTTCCTGCCTGGCTACTAGCCAACCAGCATTTATTCATCAACCAATAAGAGAAACATATTCACAGCATACATAAGGAATCTCTCCCATCATACCAGTTCACTTGTCACATCTAGACACTAATTGCTTCCCTCCTATGTATACCTTGAACCAGTTAGCGTATGCTATGAAATTTCTATCAAGGTAGTGTGATTAAAGGTGACATTGGCATAATCATAGGAAGGGGGAATGAATTACCACAAAACGGGAATAAAGCACTGAAATGTTTCTTCCAGGAACTAAGAGACAGAATATGCTAACTGGGCTTTTCTTTGAGGATAGACTTTATTACTGCTTCAGTTTCATTAAGTTTTTTTTTTTACTGTGTATGTGTGTGTTTCAGTTTTGGTAAGGTGCATGCATCTAGAATTTGTTCATTACCAATATTTTGGCACATAGCTATTCATAATAATATGATGATCTTTATTTCTCTGGTATCATTTTGTAATGTCATTTCTGGTTCTGAGTCTTTTTATTCCAACCAAGAGCTTTGTCTCATTTGTTTATGTTTTCAAAGAGTTACAATTTCATTGGTTTATTTGTCTCCCTGACATTTAATTTTGAGTTTGTTTTGTTGTTTTTCTAGTTTCTTAAAGCACTGTGAAATGGTTTATTCTCTGTGACTATGTTACTTCGGATCAAATTTTACTCTTTCTACAACTTTTGTTCTAAAGTTGGTTTTCTATAAGTATGATTACTCCTGATTTCTTCTGCATTCCATTTGCATGGAATAGCTTATTAAGTCCTTTCACTTTTAGCTTATATTTGTCCTTAGAGATAAATGCATTTCTTATAAATTGCATAATAGGTTTGGGTTTGGGGTTGTGTGGGTTCTTAATCTAGTCAATCATTATTCATAGGTGAGGTCTTAATGCAGCCCATGTAGAACCTGAGTTTAACTCTGTCATGGCCTTGCCCTGTTCCCCAGAAGATGATATCTTGCTTTGTGCTCTGCTGCCTAGAGTTAGGAGGGTGGTAATTAGCTTAGTTCCATTGAAGTTGGTTGTGGTTTCACTCAGGCATGGCATGGCTGGGTTTCAAGTCTAAGACCTGTGGTTAATCGACTGTCTTGCCTCTGGGGGTGGGAGCATCTTTCCATGCTTATTTGCTTGAGGTTGAGTTACAGTGTTTTATGGACAACTCTTACCTTCCTTCTTAGATGTCTTTTTGTTCTGAGAACTCAGTAAGCAGGATGTGGTCTCACTTGATTTCCTTAGCTCAGTTTGATACATGAGTAGCTGTTCAGATTGGTGTGTCTGTGAGGAGACAGTCACCAAAGCATCTCATTTAGCTACGGTCTAAATCTTTTGGAAATGGTACACAACTATACCACAGCTTTCATTCATCAGACCGATCCCACAATCATGGACTTTGTTGATAGAAAGGTTTATATTCGTTTCATTTTAATAATTTCTAGTTCTTTCAGCATAAAAAATGATCATGAGAGGAACAAAACTGCTCAAACATATACTATGTTACTACCAACTACAAAATTGTAATTGTTCCTACTCAAACTGAATTCCTATATGTAGAACTGGTACAAGATGGAAAGAGTTTTGCAAAACTGAGTTTTCTGGCAGAATAGTTCATTGTAATTTTCTTATTCTCAAGAGGAACCTTTAATTCCCAAAATGTAATTCTAATTCCAAAGACCTTAGAGAAATACTATTCCTCTGACATCTGGGCTATGTCAGTGTTCTCTTGTACCATATATAGGCTAACTATTGGCTATCAGTTTATGTCTAATGTTGGCTTTTAGATTTCCATTCATTCTGTTTTGTTTAACCACTAGTTCATTGAAACTATTAAGCATTGCTCTATTTCTCCCCAACAGTGGATCCTTACAAAGCTGGAAGAAGCAAGAGAACCATCTCCAAGCCTATGAGGAGGGAACGCTGCCTGGAGGCACAGCAAGCCGTTATTACAGTTCCCATAATGTACCTTCTAACCCCTGTGGAGAATAGGAGTCATTTCAGGGAGGGCATGCTTTTAAATGCTTAAAAAAAAACAAAAACAGTCAATTGGGTAAACACCTATGTGATTAAACTACTAGACGGTTCATTCAGTTTTCTAATCTGAATCATGCATCTGGTTATGATTCTTAATAATTTTTTAAAAGAAGGGTTTACTCGGGGTATTCTCAGTAGTGATAGAGAGCTTGCTCACAGTATCCCTGTCAAACAAAGTATAGTTTCTCAGTTAATATTGTAAACTTCTCTCATGCTTACTTCGTCTCCCTGATTGGTGGGAAATGATCAGATTAAGCACTGCCTCAGTAGCGACACAAAAAACCTTGGTAATTTCTTCAGAATCATGAATTTCTTTTTACAAAAAAAATTGGTATTTTTCTTATTTTTCAAAAAATGATTTGATTTCAAAAATACTAAAATGTATAGTATAACTGTGAAAAACAATCTTTTTTGAGATTGGACATAATACCCCTTGTATCACAGACTTAGGGACTTTAAAAACTAAGTATATATCCAAAAAGGTAAAGTCCCTCCAGGTCTTTAGAGCCTTGGAAATACTTCCTCAGGGAAACGTCATGGATTTATCCAGTTTGTGGTGTTAATGGACGCTTGTTTTCAAAGTAAAAATTTAAAGCCTTAATAGTCCTTACCTTCTGTTTACTGGTAACAGGAATTTAAAAATATAAAAAAAGAAAACCTTTCTAATATTAGCTATAATAAACTATACCCTAGAGTAAAGAGCTCCTCTCATGAGTTAAAGTGCAAACCCTAAGATCTAACCAGTAATCTATCCTATTGCTTTGGATTAAGAATTTCAGGTTTGCCTACTCTGTAGTTATTCAGGTGATAAACACTTAAAAATATAGGCTCATCACTACAAAAATTCTGAACTCCATCATAGTAAAAAAATAAGGTTACAGGTTTTCCCCCCTTTGGTTTTTGTTCAACATCTTTGCTCTTTACTATTAATGGACTATTTAAAGTGAAACAGAATGTCTCAATCAGTTATTGAATAACACAGTGTTCAATCTGTATTGTAATGTTACCAACTTGTTATAAACTGGTGTTGAAATCTAAGAGTCTGTTTGGTCACTGGGTGTTTAATCTGCAGACTTGTTAAGCCTTTTGCTTTGCTGTGAAAGCTGGAATGAACAGCTTGCCAGATTGTAGCTGCATTTGTGCTGCCCAAATCCTGCTAGTGTTACCATCTGATTTCAGAGAACACACTGATTGTTATTGGTGGCAACCTCCAGAATGCTTTTTCTGCTAAATGTAAACTGAATCAAAAGATGACACATCACAAAGTGTTGTAGTTGTGCATCCCCAAGATGACCTTCTTCAAGGTAAGGTACAAGCTTTCTCTTGCTGAGCCCCTCCAAGTTTGCAGAGTCAACCTGTGAAGAGAGGTGTTAGAAGGTTGGTATTGTCGCCTTATCTGGAATGTTGCTTTCCTGGCATGCCAGTCACTGCCAACAGTTAAATACCTCATTAGTTACTTCTTTCATGAGTTCAGAAAAATTAGATTCCTAATTCCCCAGGTTTGCCATGATGAAGTGCAAAAGTAGTAATTAGCGTAGCAATTCTGTAGCCTCTGGCAGCCAGCAGGATGGGCTTTATTACTAGTGCACATGCATAGCTAATGTGCCTGTCCCCCTTGTTCCTGCATCAGTCAAAACTGAGAAACAGCTCCTGTTCTTTATGACTTGTGGACACATCACCTCCTCCCTTTACTTTCTGACTGTACAGTAGAAAGACACCTAAACAGTGAAAATGAAGAACATTAACCACCTTTAACATAGATGAGATATTACATAACATTTTATAATGTACGGTTACATGTTTGATTCGATAGTCTTTTTCAGAATCCAGACTCCTTTGAGAAAAATCATCCATGAATCATAATGTTCATATTTTTCCAGTACCTTTGCTTTCATAGTGTTTATATGTATGTGGGGGGGGGCTTCAATGATCTCTATCATAATCCCATTTTTCAGATATGTAGCAGCAGTAGTATCCCAGTGAGTATTACTGTGCCAGTATCTAATCTCTTAGAAGCACCCACAAGTTGGTGCCCCATTCCTACCAAGTTTTAAAAAACAAAACAAAACAGAAATAATCAATGCTGAATTTCCTGTACTTTGGTATTACCATATTGGCTCATTCTTTAGCCTATGCCAATTGCTCCCTTGTATAGGCCTCTGCATTACAAAGATCGAGACAAAAGGCATGTGCTGTGTGTACTTATAGGTGTCTAAAACTATCAGACCTGCCTGTATGCCAGGTCTTTGCTTTTTGTTTATCTCTGATGCAACTAAAATCCTCAGTGGCAGTGTTTTTCAAATTATAGGTCTTAACCATTGGGTCATGAAATCAGTTTAATAGCTAAAGACAACCATATTTCAGAAATGGAATAGTAAAGAAATACAGGAATAAGAGAACACATAAGAACAAATGCTCTTTCTATTTATAATTTAAAACATTAACACTTTGTAGTATTAGGTTTTAAAAATGAATGAAAAAGGTCTGAAAGACTAGGGCTATCCATAACTGCTGATCAATGGAACCAGGAAATGCATAAAAATTAACTCTTCATATGATACACAAAAGACCACAGGCTGTGATAGAGCCCCCTCGCTACAGGGCATCTTACTTCCATCTGCTTTCTGTCTGACTCATACAGGTAGCAAAGATCCTGAAAACCTGGTAACTAACCATGTCAGGGCCATTATTGTAGAACCTGAGCACTCACCTGTTGAGGGTGCCATACAAATAAATATCAGTACATTTTAACTAAAAATACTGCATTTCCTCATTTCCATAAGACCTTAGTATAAAAGGAAAACTGGATTGAATCTGATAGAAGAAATCCAAAACTTCATCCATCTGATTTCCTCTGGTGCTGCATAGAATGACATATCGGTCCTCACTCTAGAAAAGAACCCTTTGCCTGTTCCTTTGGGTATGTTTTTTGAAATCTATACTTCATTGTTAATGCTAACCCACCTAAGTTTACATTAGTTGGCTAAATGGTGGTTTTTATATCTGTGGTTTGTAGCATGGAGGGGTGAGCATTATACCCAATTGCATGATTTTCCTCACTAACCTAGAAGGAGGTGCTTGGCTAAATAAGAAGAGGCTGTGTCTTACTCGGAAGCCCCTGCTAATGTTTCTTCAATTAAAACCTTTTCTACTTTATTGCCTCTTTTGTAAAATAATCTCATGTCATTTAAAAGTATGTTTACTTTAGCATTATGGGTTCTTGATTTTTTTTTAAACAGTATAGCTTTTTTTAAAAGAGGAAAATTGGAGTTACCCAAAGCTTGACACAAGAAATGTAACTTCATATTTTATAGGTCAATATCAGTATTTTTTAAAAATTGAGTTTTTTATACAAATATAAATTTGAGTTGTAGTTTAATACCTGCTGTGATCCATATCAAATTACCTTGATTTAAAATCTCTGTCACTGAACATATTTCTGTGATATCAGTGCTTCCTTGTAGTAAAATCTTTGTAACAAGGACCTTCATGAGGCCTTTAAAATGCCTAATGCTTAGAAGTGTTACCTCCAGCAGAGTGATGAAAGCCTCAGTGTTTATGATGTCTTCTACCACCATTATTTAATTGACTATCTAGATGTTGCCAGTATTTGGGCAGAAAACATTTCAGAAAGCAACATAAAATAGCTTAGAATAGAATATCCTCAGTATCAATGAAAATTCCCTCAAGACCACCAATAACTATAAATCATATTTATGACTTGTTACAGCATGTGTATAAATTTTTAAATGATCATCTCTGTATATAAGTGTATTACAATTAATGAAATTGTTGGGGAAGGTGTGCTTTAAAAATACATTCTTTTCCTAGTTTTTAATTGTACAGTTACATTCTTATGAAATTACCAAACTAGTGTCCTTAACTATTTTTATATTACTTTAATAGCCTGTACTTCTTTGGAATGTTTGTTATTTGGTAAAACGTGGCCAATTGGTTACAGGATTTTAAAATATTCTTCATTGCATCAGTATTTCCTTCACTTTTCTGTTCCTACTGTCTATCTTCTCTATGTAAACATGACCTATGACCTAATTACCTATTACACAGTGGCTGCCTTATTTTTATGTATTTTGATATAGTCTATTAACACAAGTGTTTCAAATGTGGTTCTTATTCTTAAAACTGGTCTTAGTCTTTTTCTTTCAAAAAACCTGCTGGAAATACTAACACTTCAAACTGCTTATTTCTTGGAGGTGGTAGATTTCGATTGCATGCTAAAATGGCTGCCTATTTTAATGGTATGTGAGTCCAATAAAGCTTTCTGGTCTTTGGTTTGTTTTAGTTGTTATTGGATAGAAACCAGGAACATTCACTTTCTCTTGCCTGTCTAAAATCTACCCTCTGTGACCTAACTAAGTCACTCGAAGAGATCAGTACTCTGACTTTTTAGTTGAAGTGGACAGCCTTCTAGCCACGCATGCTCACCATTGTCTAAAAGCTTAAGAGAATACTTGGTGAACTCTCAGCCACCAACTTCAGATGGGGTGAGTATATTTTAAAAAGAAAGGCTAGGGGAGAATTTCTGCAGAAAGAATTAATATTGACAGAAATCAACTAATTCACCTCTGATGTCGAGAGTTAACCTTACTGAAACTGAAAGGTTTTGTTACCACCCTTTGATTTATTCCATACCTTTCTTGCCCTGAAACAATTACTTTCTTATATATCAACCAGAGGTTAAATTGTTAATAGGGTACTTGAAAAGAGAGTCCCACATTGTTTAACATCCTTGATTGTGATTCTGTTGATATGCTACTTTTTAGATTAATTGGCTAGTGAGACCCAGTCAGTTAACCTTTAACCATGGTTGTGATGGGGAGGGACTACAATTTGATTTTAAATATCTTGAAGAGCTACCCTTTTGTCTTTGTCTTGATGGCCAATTATTTAAAATAAAATTTAGCATCCATTTGTCCAGTTCATGCCTTAAGTAAAGACTGACTTTCAAAACCTAATGCTACTTTGGTAGAATGGGTTTACACTTGGAAATGTTCCAACAAGTTGACAATCTGGAGGTCCACAACTGGGTGTAAGAAAGGCTTAGTTTAGCTCTAGGAATTCGACCTTGTGGTTCTGCAACAAATGTAGCAAATCTAAGAATGTTTATAAAGACTCAACTAAGTAAACACACAGTGACTGAAAGCATTAAGGCTGAAAATCCACATACTATGCTGACTCTAGAACATCCAATCCAGCAGTGCGCCACAGAGAGGTTACTACTTCCCCTCATGATGGTAAGGCTGACTGGGAGCTGCAGCTTGCAACTGCCCATCATCTCAAAAGAGTACCAGACCAAAATTCAAAGTACAGTTTCTACTTGATACATGTCACTTTCTCACTGTGGTGAAAGCTAAACCATTTTAAGGTGGAGACCCTTTGAAGATTAGTGAGAGGTAGAATACACCCTAAGTGCACACATACCAATGAGCAGTAGAAACAAAACCATCCTAGGCCTTTGGTCTGAAGCACTCCATTTCTCAGGGGTTGGGATCTGCACTTTACTGAGCCAGCTATTATGGATCTCCAACATTACAGAGATAAATCAAGACTTATTTCAAAAGGGAAAAACAGAAAAGCTGCTGAGTTGTTAAGGCTGTAGGATTTTTCTTTTGAACAGAACTATAATCCATGAACGCCAAGAAACACATCATCAATGCTCCTAGTAGAACAGTATATTCTCAATATCCAGAAAGGCACAGCGTACACAGTTCAAACAGCATGTTCGTGATCACCATCAGAGTTTTGGCAAAGCTTACATGACATTAGGTAAACAAGTTATACTTTAGCAATTCCATAAGTTTATAAGACCTGATCATATGCATTAAGATACACACATGCACCATCTAGAGCCCAGTTACCATCTGTCTCAGCTTTGGCTTCACCACAAAATTATGGCAAAATTAAATTAGATATTGGGATATTAATTTGGCTTAGAAAGTTGACCTGAATTTTAAAGAAATTTTTGTCTGGGGGCATAGCTCAGTTGGTAGAATGCTTGCCTAGCATGCACAAAACCCATCGTTCCATCCCAAGCACCACGTAACCTGATCGTAGTGCAACATGCATCCCAACACTAACCTGTAAATACCAGTGTCAAAATCATACAATTTGAGACCTCCTAATGTCAGGAATAACTAGCAACAGGGTGAGAACTCTCCTCTTTTAAATAAGTTATGTATATGAAGACAAGAGAATCAGAAGTTTAAGGTCATCCTCAGCTGCATAGTATGTTTGAGACCAGCAATAATGGAGACCCTGTCTCAGAAAAGAAAAAAATCTTAGCTGAGCATGGTGGCGTACATCACAATTCCAACAAATACTTGGGAAGTTTAGGCAAGAGGATCAAGGTCATCCTCAGTTATGTAGCAAATGTAGATTGGCAGTTAGCCTTTGGCTACTTCAGGTCCTGACTTTAAAATTAAAGAATTAAACCAACCAAAGATGGTGGTGGGGCATAGAAAGAAGTCTTTGGTTGTTGATAGAATGTTAGATGGGAAGAGATGTTAGCAATGTCTTTAAGGTTTTTTTTTTTCTTTTAAATCAAGCCTATTCAGATGTTTTAGTCACCCAAATTAATCCTAGAGGTCTGAAAGCATGATCTATTGAACACTTTAAAGAGCATGGTGGGGGATCACAGTGGCCTTTTAAAGCTCAATAAAATACCAAACTCAAAAATTATACCTAATCTTACAGCCGAAAGGTAAGAAAAGACAATCAAAAATTAAAGACACTTAAGAAGATTGGTAAGCAAGTAACTTTCAAGTTACACTACCCATCTCTGTTCTTGTGGTCTACATAATGTCCTTGGATCCTGGCCCAGGTGGTCAGAAGCACTGGTAGGATAGGCAGGAAGAGCTCAGATCACCCTGTTGGAGGAGTGGGCCAAGCATTTACACCAAGTTGAATTCCCGAAGGTTTAGCTGTAGGATTGTGTCTTTGACAGCAGCAAACACAAAGCGAATATTCTCAGTGTCAGTAGCACAGGTGAAGTGAGAATAGATGACTTTCTCTTTGTCAGGATTCTGGTCTTGATACAGCTTCAAGATAAAGTCCTTGGCAGCTTTCACATCCTGCTTTGGTCCTGGGTCATGAGAGGAATAAAGATTCAACCTCACCACCGTGTCCTCCCACAATCCATTTTTAATGTATTTTTCTTCTAATTTGGGATCCTTCTTTGATCAGTCTTACTTCATATCTAAGTTTACCTAGAGTAGTTATTACATTTCATATGAATACAGTATTTTTAAATATTTTTCCATTTTATGCAGTGTGTGTGCATGTGCACATGCCTGTGACCAGAGGACAATTTCATGTTATCCTCAGGAATGCCATATACCTCCTCTGACAAGATCTTTCATTGGCCTACAGCTTGCCAACTAGGCTAGACTGGCTGGCCAGCAAGTCCCAGTGATCTGCCTGTCTCCTCTGCCCTGGCTCTGTGATTACAAGGTCTCACTGTCATACCTGACTGCTTTAGGTGAGTTCTGGGGATTGTTTGCAAGGCAAATGTTTTTACCAACTGAGCCATTCTCTAGCCCAATGTTTAGTCTTTTTAAAGTGTCTACTGGTATCTAAAAATTGTACTGTAAAGCACTTTGTCTAAAAATAGTGGCCTAGTTTTTGTTTTCTAACCACTGACTTGTACAGACAGGCAGCTGTGGACTGGGGGAGGGAGGTATGGTACAGAAACTAGAGTTAGTAGGTTGGTTTTAAAGCCTGACAGTTCTAAACCACACTGCCAGAGTGTTTAATCAAATGGGGGGAGGGGGTATGTTGAAACGCTAACATGTAAATATCAATGTCAAGAGCATACTGTTTGAGACCTCTTGTGCCAGGAGTGATTAGTGAGCATGGTTGCATATATGGAATACTTCAGTACCAGCCCTATGACTGAGAAGCAGATAACCTGTAACCCCACAAAGCAGCAGGTGCTCTGAAGCTGTGAGAGCCAGCTCTGCCAGGGAAAGCTGAGTGAATGCATATGCAGCAAAGTGACCGGGCTGCCGGGGCAACAGAAAGGAGGTGGCACACTCGCACAAGCTGTAGACAGGTCCAGGAGGGTAAGAAGGGTTTCCTAGGTGAGGCGCCTGAGCTGAGGCCTCACCAGCCAAGTGGAGAAAGTCAAATGACTTAGCAAATGCACTCAGGCCTTGCAGTGGCGGTATCGAGGTGAAAACATCAGGGACAGTGAGAAGTATGATTTGAAGTGAAAATGTGAAAGCCCATCAGGGATTCCCCAGAAAACCATACTGGACACTGGAGACTGCTGCAGGTGAAGATACCAACAAGGTTGGTGTGAGAGCACTGTGCCCCAAATACTTACCTGTGTATTCTGGGAAATAGCTAATTAGATGAGAGTACATGATTTTCTCTTCCAAAAGATCTTTCTTGTTTAAGAATAAAATCACAGATGAGTTCAGAAACCAGGGGTAGGTGATGATGGTTTTAAACAAGGCTTTACTCTCTTCCATCCGGTTCTAGTGAGAAACGAAGTTAGGATAAGTCAGAAAGTAATCAATACTTGGAAATACCATGCTAGGAGGCTGGGTCCCTGTAGGATCACTGCTCTTATGATGGCAAAGAAATGGACCCACCAGACCTGCTTCCATTTGCCCCCCCTCCACACACACACACATACACACACATTGTCTAGTATCATTTTTGGAGCACTTAACAATTCTCTTGCCCTAAACAAAGCTGTTGTGCAGCTTGGTGCAAAAAGTTTATGTCATTAGACAAGGTGTGTCCTGTAACTGCTTGATTAACAGGTCAGGTGAGACACCAGCTGCAAGTGGGTGTGTGCTTCTGAACAGTGCCTCAGGGGTATTGGAACACAGGAGGAAGGAAAGCTCTCCCAGAGGACCATGAGCCCTCAGGCATGCCAGACTGGTCAGAATGGAACTAACACTGCAGAGCACCAAAGCCTTGCTTTACAATTGGGATGTTGTCCCAATTTGCTGGATGAGCAGAGCATCCTAAAGATTTAACTTTCCCAAGCCCATAGAGACACGAGTCCTGTGACAATTATACTCACAAACAGTAATTTTAAACAACACATTTCAAAAAAAAATACTAAAAGCTCTCAAATTTGAGGGGGCAGATACCTGAGAAACAAGTTGTATCTCATGATAACTACTGTTCTTTACAGTATTTTCTCTTAAGTATTTCTAAGGGAAAAGGCAAGAACTTCCCTTTAGAGGAGGAAACAGCCATAAAAATGTCCAAGTTTCACACATGCTCCAAAGGGATGCATCATGAATCTACTTCTCTCCAAGTCCACACCTGGGCATTCTCCCACTCTGCAGGCTGGGGTCCAGAAAGTATTACCAGGAAAGTAACTCAGCCAATTGTAGAGATTCTCTAAAGCCTAGAATTATCTTCATCTCCAAAGGAAAAAAATTCTGTATGGCAGAGTAAGCAGATCCAATGCACATCTACAACTGGAAGGAATGTGTGGGAATAGCAACCATTTATGTGCTCTCCAAACCTGTGATTCCTGTGTTTTTTTTTAAGGAAAGATGAATATATTTAATTTATAAGAATACTGGGCTGGGCTCCTGGTTCTTGAGCACCCAACCCTTTGACTCTTCTCCTAAGAATTCCTGGGTTTTGTTGTTGTTGTTGTTGTTGTTTTTATGTTGAGGACAGTATCTCTTGAAATTCCATTTGGTAGAGCTAGTTACTCTGATGGGAGAAGTAAATAAGTTCACCCTCCACTAATTAACTAGTATATTGGAACTCTTCAGAGAAAAGCTTTCACTCAAGAGTTAAAGATATGGTTTGTTCATGGGCCACTGCCTGATCTTGGGAAGGGCACTGATAATTGACAGTTATGTTCTTGAAACAAAAGCCAAGAAGTCTTGCATACATTCAGAGAAAAGGGCCAGTAGGAGGATATTGGTATTCCTCTGAAAAATAACCTCACAAGTGACCAACAGTCCTGACACTTTCTGTCAGAGCATCTTATGGAACTAGGCCCAGCCAGCACCTTGCAGCTTTGCAGAAGGCACAGTACCTGCCTGGGCTGCATTTGCCCAAATGCCCTGAATGAGACCCTTGCAGGAAGAGTAGCTTCTAACAATTCAGCTAGGAACCTTGTTTGGGAGTGCCATTCTCTGGAGGCTGAGGAGTCCCCTCAGATGGCATCGGTTACAAGCTATCACGTGGGCTGTGGATGCCTAGCATGATGAAGCCGTGGGTGGCACACAGGCATAATCTCAACACATAGGAGGTAGTGTGAGGCTGGAGGATCAGAAGTTGAAGGTTACCCTTTGCTTCATAGCCAATTTGAGGCCAGCTTAGGCTACACAAGACCCAGGCTTGATAAGGGTGGGATTGGGGGAGAATTGTTAGACAATATTTTATGTATTAGGATCTCTGAAGGGACTTGGAAATGAAACTATCCCCATTGGAACCCAGTAAATATAACTGTAGTGCAGGGCAGTATTTTTTCCAACATGCCACAGTAGTAAGAATCTCAGCTTTGTGTGTGTACAGGTTGAATTTTACACGGCTTCTAAGGACCAACTTAGTAAACTGAGCTCCCCTGATCCCAGGACTCTGCTTTTTCCTTGTTTCCACCCTTCATGACCCATTGCATTACCTGGAAGAGTTCTCAGGCCATGGCTCAACTAAGTGAAAGTCTCTGGTATTTGACCTGGGCACTCAACGTTTTTTTACGGTTCCTTAGGAAATTCTACTGGGCAACTACATTAATTAGATCCAGGGTTCTGTTCTGACTCTTGGTATGCAGTAAACTGCACCATCGAAGTCACACAAAGATGAAGTCTCTTCTGTTTCATTGGTTTGTCTGGTGTTTTGTTGTTTCTTGTCTGGTTTGGGTTTTTTAAGACTGTAGACTTAGCTAGCCTGGAACTCTCAGAGATCTGCCTGTCTTTGCCTTCTGAGTGCTGTGACTAAGGGTATATGCCATCTCAGAATGCATTTTGTTGTTAAGTGACATGTGACAGTATTTAAGCTACAGGGGACTTTGTAAATGGGCCTGCAGTGTGCCAGTAGTTGCATTGGTAACACACACCTGAATGTTAGCTGGCAAGTCTAATTTCCTCACCTTGCTAGCTTCTTGAAAATTGAAGAAATAAGACTGTCTTCTACAGTTACCACCCCAACCCCCACCCCAGCAGCATACATCCAAGTTCCAAACCCTCAGCATACCTCATTGTCACACTCAGCCAGAACCTGGTCATATTCACTCAGAGCAACCAAAAAAATGATGGAGGTGACGCTCTCGAAGCAGTGAATCCATTTCCGTCGTTCAGATCGCTGACCACCAACATCTACCATCCTACTCAAAAGAGATAGATGGTCAGAGGTTGGAATGCACAACTCCAGGGAAAGGGTTGCAAGCTATTGCACCGTGGAGTTAGAAGCCTTTGAGGTCCTCGATGACTTTTAGAGGGAAGGGGTTCTTAAGGGTAGTGTGTTAGAACATGCTGCCATGTGCAGTGGAGAACCATTGGTGGTTTCCAAGCCAAGGACTCAGATGCAGCCTGCCTGGATCTACTGGGTAAGAACCCTGCTGCAGAAGTCCTTTACTCCAGCCACCCACATGGAGTCCTAGGACACAAAAGGGACAACAGCAAGCCATCATCCTAGTACCTCTGCTTCCTTCGGGTTCTATATTTAAATGTATAATTTGTATTTTGTTTTTAGGACTGTGTGTGTGTGTGTGTGTGTGTGTGTGTGTGTGTGGTGGCAGACAAAAGTGCAGGTGCCCCAAGGCCAGAAGAGGTCATTGGATCCCCTGGAGCTAGAGTTATAGGTATCTATGAGACACTCAATATAGGTGCTGGGAACTGAACTCTCTTAGCCACTGAGCCACCTCTCTGCCATGTCACTGATGCCACTGTTACTAGACAAAATGCAGGCTCACTATTACCAGGTCTGTGGATATTTTAGGGAAATTGAATAGATTTTAAATAAAACATCTCCGTTTTTAAGTGTCACTGCAGATATTTTTCCTAACATTATGGCAGACTATGTGGGTCAGACAGAGCACATAACCTGCCAGGTCACCCCCACCACCCCTACACCCTCACCCCATCCACACACCAATTTAAGACCCCAAACCAGTGTGTCTAGAGGTTCCACAGACTCACTGGCTCCCATGGCTACCATCTAGAACGGTGCCTTGGAGTCAGGTTCTAGGGATGCAGACATGCCTGCAATGCTGTGTGCATGCTGCCTGCCTCATATTGCAGAGGGAAATAGAGCTAGGATAGAAAGCACAAATATCAAGAGACTTGATGTGAAGACATTCTACAAAGACCTCAACTTCAAGCATCAGAATTCTTCATCCAGAAAGACTGCACAGGGAAGATGCCACGGGCTGTAAGGTATCATCAGCAGCTTATGCTAAACCCAGTCCTAAGGCTCTGAATAGGTAAAACCTCTTCATCAAAGCTTTGGCAAACTCATTCTGAGGTGTTTGGGAGGTTGCAAGCAGCCTTTGAAGTTGAAAAGGTTTAAATCCACAGGTCAGCTCAGGAGAGAGTGACCATTAAATTAGACATAAGTAACAAAAATGCAGAGTACTTTTGTACCATCCCCTTCCATGTGACAGCCATGAAGGAATACTAAAACAGAATTGTAATATTGGATTTGATGTGTAAAATGATCATCATTAGAAAGGATAAGGGGAATAATAGATATACAAGAGCTTTGAGGAGTTGGAGAGGTAGCTCAGTGGTTAAGAACACTTACTACTTATGCAAAAGGCCTGAGTTCAGTCCCAGCACTCACATGGTAGTTTACTACTAGTATCTCCAGTTCCTGGGGATCTGATGCTCTCATCATCTCCAAAAGCTCCTTCATATACCTGGTACACATACATATACACTGAGATACACACACAAAATTTTTAAAGGTGCCTTGAAATTTCCATTGTTTTGTAAATGACCTATATTTATTTTTCCAATACAAAGTTTGGTAAAGATCTGTTCATCCTTAGAGTGTTGTTATATAAATAGACATGTATACATTTTACACCACTATAAGTACTCTATACATATTATAGGCAATACACATATACATGGTTTTTCTTTAAGGATAAATCTCAAAGTAAGGGAAAGAGAAATCTTACTCAACATTAGGGAAATGACATCAGTAGACTATATTATCACAGGAGTCCACATCTGTGTGACTACATGTAAGAAGGCCTTTTCCTGATAGGAAGAGCACAGAAGTCCCTCTGTTGAAGAGCTTGAGATCCCAGAAGGTTATATTGACCAAAGAGCTACTTAGGAGCAGCACGTAGGACTCCACCTCAGGACATACCCCCTGAACAGACTGATCCTTAAAGTCCTCCATCTGGGAGACAGACTTACCGGAAGATTATGTTTTCCAAGTCAAATGGATACTCTATGATGCCAGTGGTGGGCACTCGAACACGAAGCACATCTTGTTGCGTTGGCACGAAAGAGGGCATGGCAATTCGGTCAATGTCAGTCAGGTAACTGTGACATTAAAGAGTTGAGAAACTGAGGCTCCATTGTGAGAAAGGGAAATAGCCTTCCTTACTCAAGGGAAGTCCTCCCTGACCACAGGATCCTCCACAAGACTTGGAGGCCAGCGTAACATTCAGAGGTGACTATGCCAGGCCTCTATCCTCCTAAGACTGACCATCCTAAAGGGATCAGGACTCAGATGCAGATCACTCGGTCCAGTTCCCAGCTGCATCATCACTGTGGCCATGAGGGAAACAGCAGCCTAAAGGCCGAGGAGGTAGGTAATGAAACTGACCCATCACCCAACAGACCTGCCTACTTGCCTTCATATAAGAATGTTATATAAAGTAGACACTGTTCTCTGAAGACTCTGGTGAGTGAATAAGAGCCACTTCTATAAAAATACTCAATTGTCAAATAGGCCATTGAAAAACTCCCTCAAAATAAGATAACATTTTCCTATTAAGTACACTGGGAAATGAGACATCTAAAATAATACAAAATTTGTCTAATGTTATTTGGGGCTGTGTATTAAAGTCCTGACTTTAAAATACATGTATTTTTTTCTAAAAAAAAATGAAAGAATGCCTTTAAAGAACACTACCAGGCAATGTAGCTCAGTTCTTCAGAGTGCTTGACTAGCATGCACATAGCACTGGGTTTAAACCCCAGCACCACCTACAACAAACATGGTGGCATGTGCCTGCAACCCCAACACTCAGGAGGTAGAGGTAGGAGGATCAGAAGTTAAGGGTGCTGCTGAAATACATGGAGAGTTCAAGGCCAGCCTAGGCTAGACACTGTGCCATCAAAACTTGCTTGATTAAGTCCTTACAAAAGACCCTAGCCAGCAATGGAGTTGATGGCTTTGCAACTTTCTGTAGCACAACCTAAATATCCAGGGCTGAGCAGGTCAGCCTAGAGAAGGACCTCACTGACTCCAAACCGCTGGCCCCGCTCGCATGCGCTACTTTATACCCATTTTCTCCCTTCATGCAGTGTTCTACCCCAGGGTTTCAAATACCTGTGGTCACTTTTGGACCATAAGTAAGAAATGGGAAAATCATGACAGGAATAAGTAATTCCTTTTCTCTTTGCATTGCTTTTGCAAAGCTACAGACAACAGTCCCTAACTTGTCAATCCAGTTCCATTCTGAGAAGCAGGATAAAATCTGTCTCTGGTCCTAGATGTGTAACATACTTCCTAGTGTATCCTCCCCACCTGCTACTCACTCAGTAGCTGTCCCAGCTGTCACACTCACTGTCATGGGATCATGTAGCTGATAACAAAATAGCTCAAATTTTACTTCATGTGCTCCAGGTAATCACCTAATTGTCAGTTTCTATAAAGCTGTTTCTATAATTAATGTTTAAGTTCATCATATCATGCTCTGGTACATATAGAAAAATGGAATACAATACCATCTGTAATTTAGAGTGTTGACTGGGGACTTGGGAAAGTGACCAAAAAGTTATATATGGGAAATAAGGGAGACACACTAATTGTTTTGTTGCCACATAGCCCTTAGCACGCTATTTGGGCAGTATAAATGCATATCTAAAAATGCAGACATTACTAGCAGATGACTGAAAACCAAAGGCTGAACCAAAGAAAATACACAAGTAACTTATGTCATAGAGCCCTGGATTCTCTAGACTTTCTTCCTCTCCTGTCCATTTCCAATGTAACATCTTCTTACTGGTTTCTTTTCTTCTCCTGACATCATGCTTTTCTGCTGATGTAGTTGGACCAGTCAGTTGTGCCAACCTGGAATGAATTGAACACTTCCTGGGACAAATGTCTAGGGAAAGTCATTAAAGGCTACATGAAATAATGATGCCTTTCCTGACAGCTGCTTTATCCTGTTGGAGCTAGCTCAGAAAGCAGCCAACACTTAAGAGGAATTGGGTGGTTTGGGGATGGGGGTGTCATGGACCTAGGAGGAGGGACAGCGATATGGGGGAAGGAGAAAAGACTAAGCTACAGAAACACAAGCAGCAACCCAAGAAGAAATAATCTGTGTGCCTAGTCACCTGGATGGCACACACAGTCCTAGGGGACTCTGAAGAAAGGGAAATGTTGCAATCTCTCCAAGGTAGTATGCAATACAAATTGGGCGGGTTCATGATTTAAAGCTTTATGAATACAAAATATGAAAGAGGTAGTCTTTCTGAGAAGGTCCAATAAGCCAGCTGAGCTCCCCGTGTGTTGCTCTTGCAGATACCTATGTCCACCACTAGAGGGTAGCAAAGATCAGTGGCTGATTTAAACAAGGCCTACACCCGCCCGTGATTTGCAAAGGAATACGGTGAGAAGAAAGCTAACCACCACCGGCAGGTGTATTCCTTGCTTAAGTTATAATTCCAGCACCAAAGTTTAGATCAAAGCTAAGGGAATTTCAAATTTAGTTAGGTGGGAAAAGGTGGGCACTGACCCCAAGGCCTATCTGGGAACCCACAGAAAATTAGGAGAGAAGATGCTAAGAGTCAGAGCCAGGGGTCCAGAAAGACCCCTCCTCTCCTCCACGTAGGGAGTGAAGTCTTGCAATGCGGGTCTAAGAGCAGTGTGGCAGCAGCCGCGGTGGGCAGAGTACTCACTACTTAGCAGAGTCCGACAGCTGGTACTCCCTCCTCCTGTCGTAACATTCCTGGATGCCTGGATCCAGCCACAGCTGCTTGATGGCTGCCACCTGGTCCCTGGAGAGTGCAGAGACTTTGTCTACTTCCACTTCCCTGATGATCTGGGCATTTTCCTAGTCAAAGGAAAGAAAACATTGCATTAGTGAAGGAAAGGCTAAGATGTGGGGATAAGCTTGCCCTGGACCCTGAGTTGGGAGCTCTGATAGGAACAGGACTGTGCACAGCCAAGTCCTCAGAAACTGGTACAGTGAGTGGGCCAGCTTGATTGCTCAGTGTGAGGAAGTGAGCCACAGATGATACCAGACCTGTACCTCTAGTCCAGCAATACCAGAGGCAGCTGCTCAGACCCGGCACTCAGGAGTGAACAGAGACACTCATGCCATGCTCATTCCATCATCTGTGTGGCCAGCTAGATACAGAAACTGCTGTATTGGCACACCGGGTTGTGTGGTAGAAATGGGCCTACCCTGGATAAGAACAGGAAAAGACTATCTCGGAGAATGTAAAATCAATGCCGACTGTCAGCCTGATAGTTTTCTCTCCCCTAAGCCTTTTGCTTTTTTTCAATTGTATTTAGTTGTTTGAGGTAGATTTTACTTTGCAGAGCAGTACTAGCCTCAACAAAAAAACTTCCATTCAGCAGCAAGTTCTCATCCGCCAACTATCTAGTCCCATGAATCACTGCACACCCAGGACCTGATCCCAGAGCACCTACTTTGTACAATAATCACTAAACTGCTTATTACCCACTGCTCTATTATCACACTAAAGGTAACAGTCAGGAACTCTATGAGAGCATATACACAAATATGTCTCATTTGCAAAACTAGCACACATCCACCACACTTGAGCCTCTGCATCTAATTCCTTCCACCGTCCTTAGCCAGAGACAGTGATGGAAGGTGCTGGACAGCCTGTGTGGAGCATAGGCACTGTCCCAGCGTCCTTGCTTCCCACTGACACTCTGTCCTCCCAGACAGGGCCAAATGTCTTCCTTCCTGCCCTAAAGCTGCCTCTACCCTCTACTTTTAAAATTACCATGGACCTCTACCTTCAAACAAGTCTGAAAACTCCCCAAAAGCAGAGTCTGCCTTACTTGTCCTTTTATCCTAGCGCCCAGTGCAGTGCCTGCAAGTGAAGGTGTCTTCCATTGATATGTGAAGTCAGTAAGCACACGTGGTACATATGCAATGTATCCATGTAACAAGTAGAAATCCATAGCCATGAGTGTAACTGCCATAGGACAGAAGTCAGTAAGCACACGTGGTACATATGCAATGTATCCATGTAACAAGGAGAAATCCATAGCCATGAGTGTAACTGCCATAGGACAGAAGCCCATGCAGACGGTGATACATCCACAAATAACTTGGGGCCTCACTGTGATGGCTCTCAACTAGTTATCTTGCTAACTTCTTGTATAGCATGCATCATAGGCTGTTTTCCAGCATAACGGTGAAATCCAGTTTTGCCGCTGAGAATGAAAGCCAAAGAGCTGGCAGAGAATCTGGGGTGGGAGCTACCTTCTGTGTTGGAGGTGGCCACCATCTACGGGTGTCCAGGAAGTAGATGAATAAAGTGGGTGTGTGTTCAGACTTGAAGACAAGTGTTTTGGGAGCAAGCCAACAGATGCAGAAACATCACTGATGACCAGGCTGTCAGAGATCTCAGACATGCATGAATGTGACCTAATGAAACCCATTATTCTGAACAATTTAAATATGCTAATATGGAGGGGAAACAGTGTTCAACACTGACTTTTCTTTTCCTCTTTCTCAAAATCACCATTTTCATAGCTTGGAAAGAGAACTCAGAAGACAGATGGGTGCCATGCAGAAGTTCCCAAGTCACCTATGAAAGGGCCACAGATGAAGTGATACCTTCACACAGGGCCCTGGGGCTGCTGCTGAATTCTGCCAAGCACAGCAGGGCTTCCAGCTGGGACCCACCACGCTGTCCAATTTCTGTCTGGCCTTCATCACAGGGGACACTACACTGTCAATGACTCAGTGCAGCAGCCATCTCTGTAGGACCTTTCATGAGGTAACCATGCGATTATATTTAAAATTCATGTATTTTAGTTGGCAAATTGATTCTACGTAGTTATGGCACATATAACAATGTTGTCTTGACAATTGTAAATAATGTGCATAGCTAAGCCAAGCTATTTAACATCTTTATGTGCATATATATGTATATGTGTGTATATATGTATATGTGTGTATATATGCATACGTGTATACACACACACACACACACACACACACACACACACACACATTGTGCTTGAAGCCAGTGATCTGTTCCAGCTTGCACACACTACAGCTGGCTTTCTAGTCAACCTTACTGGTACGAGGCAACATTCGCAAGCTCCTGCTTAAATTGTGCACCATTTCTACAAACCCTGGTTCAGTTTTACACCCTACAAGACACATGAACAGGTCTGTGGGAGAGTGTGTTTGCTCTAACAAGTCACGTGCACTGCCAAGGTGGAGAGGGACGGGGCAGGTGTGGGTCTAGGCCCTCCTTGTGGAATCGGGTCCACCTGCTTCCATCGCCTCTGTTGTCTCTGCGACTCCCTAGCTTCACATCCAGCTTTTCTCCCCAACTGCCAGCCTTGCTGACCCCTAGGAACTTCACACCGGCTACCAGATACGCAGAAGCAGCAGCTTCCTAGGCCTTCCTCTCCATTGCACAGTAACAACACAATTCTGTAATTAATTTACCGTTCTACAGCACTCTCAGTTCCCCAGTCAAACCCAAACTGGTACACAAGTGCTTCCATTAAAGTTCTCCAATAGCCATGGGTCCAGGTGAAACTAACACCTTAGGCATCAGCCAGGATGGCCTAAATGTCTCAAAATCATCTGCACAATGACAGCCAGTCTCGCTGCCCCTTCTGTGACTGGTCCTCCATGCTGAAGCTGGCATGGGTTCTGGGACTATGCAGCCCTCCTCTTGACTATTCTAGTGTACTGAGGTGTCCTTGGGTGGGAGCCACACCAGACCCTTACACAAATGTTAGGAGATCAAGAAAAAGGAGAAATTAGAGTTAGTGATGAGTGAGGAATAGGCTAGTATTTCCACCAGAGGATACCTGAGGGATGCAAGGAGCAGGGTGCTGTTGCGACAACTCCTCACACCTTTGGCACCATGACCTGACCATGCCAGCCTTTTATGACAGCACTTGCCACGGCTGGGGCCAGAGAGTATCTTGGCTACACATTTCACATGACATTCCTTCTCCTAAGATGTTTGGAAGGCATCTGAACCTTCCAGTCATAGGACAGAGAGACATGTTCAAGGCATAACTTACCACAGACCATCTGAAAGCTTCATCCCAGTCCTTAGGTTTACAGTTGACTCTCAGTGTTCTACAGGAATCGTTTCCAGGACCCCATTCCCCGTGGATACTCAAATCCAAGGATGACCAAGACCTTCTCTAAGATGTCACAGCATCTGTGTAGGACCTACTCATACCCTCTAAACCATCAGTAGATGCTTTGTAAATTGTTATACAGTTTCTTAGGCACTTAATCAAACTGAGGCCTGAAGGCCACATGCAACCCAGAACAGCTATGATTATAGCCTGACACAAAATCCCAAACCTGATTGGTCACAGGTGTGTACATGAGTGTATGGTCTGGGGTCCGGGTCAGGTTCACTCTCTTGGTTCTGGTCAGGTCATGGAGAGCAGCTAGGTGTAGATCCTTGGAGCTGGAACTTGCGGATCATCGGTTTCTAATGTAAGTAACTTCTGAATAAAATTAACCTATATTTAACCTAGTCTCATGTATCTTAATCTGTACATCTCCACAGCTTCACTATGCACTGTTATCCAGGGGTCACACCAGACTCACACCAGTGTGTGGCTCTACCAATGTCCAGGGCCCTGGATCCCTCCACACCTGCAGAAGAGGGAGAAGAGCATGGGACAATGGGCGGGAAGTTCTATGAGCAGGTCTGGGTGGAGAAGACATCACTTTAGTCACAGTTCATTGCCAGTATCGGTCAAAGTGTCCACTGAATGTAGAGGAGGCAGGGAAACCTGGCTTCCTACACTTGGATAGAAAAGTGGAATTGTATGACAGCTGAGCGATGCTTGTGCCACTTACAGACTCACAAAACCTCTCTGCCAAGGTGGCTTCCCATATGATTCCCATGTAGCCGGTCAAACTACAACTGGTGGACCAAATCCAGCCCTCGACTTGGTATGTGAACGACACTCTTCTGGAGTTTAGCCATGCCTGTCACACTGTCTCCTTTCACACTGAACACAACAGTGCCAAGTGGCTGGGTCAGAGTCCAGATGGAGTAGGGCTTTAAATATTCCTTTAGCCACTCACAAAATGATGCTTGCTAACCCCAGAAACAGCTGAATAACTAAATACATCCACATAGCACACCACTGTCCCTCCATTCCTCAGTCTTTCATCTAGGGTCTGTCCGTTTTGCAAAGGAATCATTCTGCCCTGGGTACTAACAAGTACAAGAATGTGACTGAAAAACATCCTTAGCTGTTCTCATATTCAACCTTACAGTCCTACAGAGACAGTGCTAACAGATATCCACATGTAGAAGAAACTTAGAAAAATGGATTCAGTGAGGAGGAGAGCATAGGGAGGGGAGGAGAGGAGGGATAAATACAAATTTATCCACCCTAAGACTTCCAAAGAGAAATGGCCAGCCAGGGCCAAGTTAGACTGGGGCCTTGTCCTGAGACTAGAATCCTGAAGTGAAATGAAACAAAAGTACAACCCAATGGGAAAAGTTGGGAGTTTTCTGATTTTGATGCTTTTTTACAAAATGTAGAGAATTTTCTAATTTCCCCCCCTTAATTACTTCCTTAAGTAAGCCATGATGGTATGTACTAGTTGCCCAGAGGTTTAATATCACATTGCTTGCTTTTTATAAAGTCTGTATGTTGTGTCAATCAGCTCAGGACCAATGACTCACTGTTCACACAAAATATGAAATCCCAGGTATCATGCCAATTCTACCTAGAGCACTGTCCATTCCCTAGAAGCCAGTGACCTGTCTCCAAGGAGGACTTGTATGCAATTCTAAATCCTTCCCAACTCCCTACAGAGGTTTCACACACAAACAAAAGCAA